TGAACTAATAAATAAACTTAATAACTTATTAATTTTTTAATCACTTAATCACAATAAGTTAACTAAATTAGCAATTACCAATAACACTAATAATAATAATAATAAAAGTAACAACATAAAATAATAACAATTAAATTTTATAACTAAAACAATTAACAATTAATTTAACTAAGTAAATTCACAATTAACAATCAAATTAGTTCAATCAACTATTAAAAATAACAATAACAATAAAATTAACAATTAACAATAAGATTCATTTAATCAAGAATTAACAACAACATTAACAAAACAATTAACAATTAATATTAAATTAACAATAAAACATTTAAATTAACTATCACAATTAACACTAATTAATACCAATATATTTTTTTAAACAAATAAACTATCAAAATTAACACATTACAAAAATATTAATTAAATCATCAATTAATAAAAAAATAACACATGCAATAAACAATTATAAGTAATTAAAATTAAAAATTAAAAATATTTAATTAAATTATTTTAATTAACTAAATAAATGAAAAAAATTAAAAATTAAAAGGAGAGTTAGATTGGGGTGGACCTTTCACCAAGAGAAGGAGGAGAGGGGGTCACGGCGGTGGAAGCCTTCGTCGGAGCTATTTAGTCGGAAAATGACCGATCGAGAGATGGAGAGAGAGAAAGAAAGGAGGAGGAAAAGAGGGAAGGAAGGAGGATTTTTTAGGGGAGAAATATTAAGAGGAAAGAAAGGAGAAGATTGGAAGAAGAAAATGGCGGAAGAGGCAAATGCGAGTGCTCCTGGAGGAGAAGAAGAGAAAAGGTGGAGAGAGAATTGAAGCTGCCAATTCTCGGGGAGAAGGGTAGTTTTAAAAGGAAAAGGTTTAGCGACGACTGCGCTCGTCACTAAACCTATCGCTAATAGTCTTTTTGAAATCAAAATTTGACCGTTTTCCACCAATGGTTTGATTTTATCGATGGTCTTCGGACCGTCGCTACAATATTTTTTGCAACGGTTTTTTCCATCTAATGCTTTGATACCATCTATACCATCTCATATTTTGATACCATCTATACCCGGGAATATAAATGAATGATACAAGTATGAAATGAAATAAATTAAAAAACGGGAAAATAGAATTGGGCGGCGAGCCGACCACTAAATTGCAGATTCAAAGGTGGCGAGCCATTAATCATGCGAGTAATTAAACGAATAACTAAAAAAAGATTTAAATTTAAATGAATAACTGAAACAGATTTAAATCGGGAAATTAAAAATAGACTCTAGGTACGTGGTATTGTTATACCAAAGGTTAAACCACTCGATAGGACCGGACGAGTCCTTAAAGGTTTGGTCATTGGTTTCCAGTCGATATACCTTAGACTCAAGATATATAATGAAAGTAAGAAATTTTATTTATTGATAAAATCACTTACGAGTTTTTGATAAGCTAGAGTACACGAAATTTGTTTGATTTCTTTGTTATTTTGATTTGAATATGTCTAAGAGATTACAAGAGACCAAGGTTACGAGAGAAAATAATGTTATAAGTAATGGCCTAAAAGAAACACACTCTCATTATAAATAAGAAATGAGCTTTCCTATATAGAAGAGAAAGTCTGTCTTGAATAGTGTCTTCACGTGTATGAACGAGTAAGACGCCGAAAGGTTTTTTATCTTGTTTTGAACGGTGTCTTCACATATGAGTGAACCGTAAGATGTCGAAAGTAATTTTGTTCCCGTAACTTATAAGTGGTGTACGGGAGGAAATATTCCAAAGCGATCATCTTCATTGTCATCACCCGGAGTTTATGGCGGGTTCGATTCGGATTCGAGTCTGCTACTTGGGAAGATTTTGACCTACTTTGCATTAATTGAGATATGATTACAAAGTATTCTTCTTCAATTTTTGCTGATGCTAACTTGGCCATAGCAAAGGATTTTTGGGCCGGGAAGCTTGAAGTGGCCGAGCTTGGTTTAAGCAAGCCTTGTTTTGTAAGCCATTGTTGCACCGAGGCTTTTGATAGTGATGAAGGAACATTAAAAGCATCCCACCATTTGACTTTGAATCTCCTGGTTAAGGTTAAGGTAGTATCCCGATATTTGGCATCATAATACCAAGAACAAACCCATGGTAAAAAGAACTTTGTGCGAGAAAAAGAAAAGAAGAGGAAAACGTTTATCTTTTTTCGAGGGGTTATAATTTGTTTGGAAGAGTTGTAGCTTTCGAAACACTCGAGGTAAGTATTTACGGGATAGAGCCAAAGTAATTCCACCATTGGAGGAACCACATGAGAATTTTTGAGGTATGATTTTCTATCCTAACTAGTTGTTTTCCTATGGTTTGGAGGTTGGCATTTGAAAAGTTGTTTTATTGAATAATGTTTTGGATGTTAACGAGTCATCATCATTGGGGATTTTGTAAGGACATGCTTCTATTTTGGCTTCTTCGTGAGAGAAGGTAAGCTTCCTAGGAGGAGAGTGTTCGGACTGGATAGTCTTTCCTTCTACTTCCCGAAGGGGAGTTTTGTTCCTAGTAGTCACGGGGTTCGGGGTTTTAAGGAACGGATAAGATATATCATGTTCACAACCATACATCTCAAACCAATCAAAGAATAATGTATGAATTTTATGCATATTTAAAAATTCATAAAATTCATTTTGAATGTCTTTCTCGTTGTCAAGAAAGTTTTTAAAGAACCAAATTCTTTTTTTAGAATTATGTTTTTCATAGAAATCGAGTATGCGAGATATTCTTTATCTATTTCAAATGCATCATCGACAAAGCATTACATTCGTTTACAATATTGCCTTACCTACTCATACCGGGATTATCAACGAGGCTTACTTTAAATGCATCACGGACAAAGCATTACATTTGTTTGTAATATTGCCTTACCTACTCATACTGGAATTATCAACGGGCTTGGTTTAATACGTCCTTTTTACAAAATTAAAAAAGGAAGCCACTTCTAGCTCTTCTATTTTGATACAAAATTCGATACCTCAAAATTCCCATGTGGCTCCTCTAATTGTGGAATTACTTTGGCTTCCCGAAATACTTACCACGAGTGTTTCGAAAGCTATAAACTCTTCCAAACAAATTATAATCCCTCGGAAAAAGAAAAACGTTTTCCCCCTTTTTTTCTTTTCCGTACAAAGTTCTTTTTACCATGGGTTTGTTCTTGGTATTACGATGCCAAATATCGGGATACTACCTTAATCTTAACCGGGAGATTCAAAGTCGCATGGCGGAATGCTTTCAATGTTCCTTCATCACCGTCAAAAGCCTCGGTGGAACAATGGCTTACAAAACAAGGCATGCTTAAACCAAGCTCGGCCACCTCAAGCTTCCCGGCTCAAAAATCCTTTGCTACGGCCAATTTAGCATCGGCAAAAACTAAAGAAGAATACTTTGCAATCATGTCTCAATTAATGCAATGTAGGTCGAATCTTCCCAAGTAGCAGACTCGGAATCCGAATCAAAACCCGCCATAAACTTGGGTGATGACAATGAAGATGGTCGCTTTGGAATATTCCCTCCGTACACCACTTATAAGTTACGGGAACAAAATTACTTTCGGCATCTTACTTGTTCACTCACATGTGAAGACACTATTCAAAACAAGACAAAAAACCTTTCGGCGTCTTACTATTCATACACGTGAAGACACTCGTTCAAGACGAGCTTTCTCTTCATATAAGAAAGCTCATTTCTCATTTGTAATCGGAATGTGTTTCTTTTAGGCCAACATTGTTTTCTCGTAACCTTGTTTTCTTATAATCCCTTAGACATATTCAAATCAAAACAACAAGGAAATCAAACAAATTCATGTGTACTCTTGCTTATCAAAAATTGTAAGTGATTTTATCAATAAATAAAATTTCTTACCTTCATTCTATATCTTGAGTCTAAGGTACATCGATCGGAAACCAATAACCAAACCTTTGGGGACTCATCCGGTCCTATCGGGTGGTTTAACCTTTGGTATAACAATGCCATGTACTTAGAGTCCGTTTTTAATTTCCGATTTAAATCTGTTTCGGTTATTCGTTTAAATTTAAATCGTTTCGATTATTCATTTAATTACCTACATGATTAATGGTCAGCTCTGCCGTCTTTGAATCTGCAATTTAGTAGCTGGTTTTGCCCCTCAATTCTATTTTCCTATTTTTCAATTTATTTCATTTCATACCTACATCATTTATTTATATTCCCAGGTATAGATGGTGCAAAAATTAGTTTTAATAGTTATTTATTTTTTATTATTATTTTAGCAAGGCCTTAGCGACGGTCCTGGATCGTCGCTAAGCCTAGTTATTTTGCAACGGTTTTTTATTAAAAAACCATTGCTAATCGAAAAAAAATTTTCCCATTCTTCTAATTTTTAGAAATGGTTTAGCGACGGTCCATAGACCGTTGCTAAAACAAATATTTTTGCAACGGTATTTTATTTAAAAATTGTTGGTAATCGCAAATGTTTTTTTTTTCAAATAATCTCATTTTAGAAACGGTTTAGCGACGGTCTACGGACTATCGCTAAACATAGGCTTTTTTGTAATGGTTTTTTACCCTAAAGCTCGTTGCTAATCTATTTTTTAAGTTTAGCAAGGGTTTAGCAATGGTCTACGAGCCGTTGCTAGACCGAATTGTTTTTTTGAAACGGTTTTTTATTAAAAAACCATTGCTAATCATCCTTTTTTTTTTTAGTTTTTCTCGCGTTAGCGATTGTTTAGCGACGGTTTTGACGGTTTTGAGACCGTCGCTAAACTTGCAACGGTTTTTTCATAAAAACCATCACAAAAATGGTCCGCATGTGGGGAAAAAATTAAACCCGTGAAGTTAGCAACGGTTTAGTTAGACCGTTGCAAAAAAATGGTCACAAATGAGAATTTTAGTAACCTTTTTTTGGACCGTCGTTAAATCGGTTTAAACCGTTGTAAATTTTGAAAATTAGCAATGACTTATTGACCGTCGCTAAATTCCCCTCGCAAATCCATCTTTTTGTTATAGTGTATGTACCCAAGTACCTATGGAGGAATAGAAGGGAAACCTAATACTCGACTAAAACTTGAATTGGGGATTGAAAGGCTAAAATTTGCCATCCTTTCTGTCTTTGGGAAGCAACAGATCAAGGAGAATCTTGAGGCCAAACTTCTTCTACTTTCAGTCCAGATGGTGTCGGAGGCCACACGGTTCAAATATGTTGAGAAAATGATACTCAATAGTATTGAAGGAAAGGGGACATACAAATCTTTTTTCCCTTGTCCCTCAGTGATTAGTAGTTCAATTAATATATCCCAATAATAAACCCTTCAAAGTTGACAAATTGCAAGCTGTAGCTCCCTACTTGAGCCTTATGAATTATGAAGTCAAAAAACCGATCATGTGGGATCAACCATCTCAAAACATGGAAATAGAAATTGACACCATCTTATGAAAAGCAAGATTAATCAACATGATGTTAGATGAAAGTCTTATTCTTTATTAATTAGTTTCATGAAGAGTCACTTGTTATATGCAGTGTTTTAGTTCTTAAATAAAAAGGAGTCATGCATCTTGTAAGCAACATAAATAATACCAGCAGTTTGATTTATCTTTTCTACCTATTCTTATTGGGTTTGGGTCCAAAATATCTTTTAAGCACTGGCAATGGAATATGTGACCACTTCAAAACTTCAGAACAAGGCATATGGAGAGGCTCTCAGCTTACTGCTAAAAGAAACCGTAGGCTAGTTGTGTTTTCAAATGTAAGCTATTTCTGCTGATATTTTAATCAATGAACTTGTCATTTATTCTATGTTATAAGAAAGCATGTTATTCATTCCAGAGGAAGTGAGAAAAAGTTTATAGATGTCAGCCATCAGGAGAACCTTTGGCAGTGAAGTTATTTTCAACTGTTTCTTGTGATTTAGACCTAAAGTTCTTTCTCTGCTCTTTTGTGTTGCACAAGACATTGTTATCAATAAAGCAAATAACAAGTCCAGCCATTTAGAATTCTAGAAATTAGGTACATTGACCAAATTTCTACTAGAATTTGAGTTCTGGTTCTTCATTTTATACATACTCTATCTGAATACTAGATAGGAAATTAAACTATATAATGTTTCTTTAACAGTCAGGGAATGGACATAAAGGATGTAAGGCTCAACAGATTGTGTTTTCTACTCCATTGGATCAGATCCTAGGCACATGAGGATCATTTCATAAATAAATCACATCAAAATGGATCAACTATGAGTTACTTAATTACTGGTTGGTATCATTTGAAGAAGATAAAATTCTGAAGCGATCATTTCTTTTGACATGGTTAGTGATGAGTTTCAAGAGATGCAGGTACCAGATTATGAGAAACCAGCTTTAAAAAATCTTGCAGTATACTTGAGATGGAGAAGGTTTTAGATATGTGGACAATGAATAAGGGGTGTTGGGCCAAAAAATTACTACGGGTCCTTTTCAGACGTTCCCCATCCAGTTGGTCAATGGAAGAAGAATATTCTTTTACTGGAATTTGGTGATTACGAACTATTCTTATGTGACCCTACCAGGAGAGAAATAAGGGATCTTGCATTCTGGGGACGGAGATGGTGTGAAGGAGTTTATGCTTACGTGAAGAGTCTGGTTTTAATCGAGGACAAGAATGTGTGTAGCCAACATGAGGAAGCTGAAACAGATGTTGACCAAGTTTAGTTATTCATACTTTATGCTTTCTTTCCTTTAATTGGAGCAAAGACAAAGTCAGGAGGACACAGAAATAGAATAAAAATTTTAATGATATGTAATAATTTTCTATGGTTGCAATTTAGAAATTTCAGTTGAGTTTAACCTTGATTGACGAAGAGAAGTGGCATGCTGGAGGCCATCGAGAAAATCGTCTCAAGGTTCCATAATTTTAATCTTAGATTTTTTTTTTTGAGTTCTAGAAGGAGAAAAAATCGATTCATTATCCTGCCCCGCCTCTTCAACTTCTAGGTTTTTTCTTCTCCTCTTTTTCAATCTCTGTAGCTCACATTTGAATACACTATCCTATTCAACCTCTATTCTTCTCCTTCTTCTTCATTATAGAAATCTCTTTCAATCTCTTTTTCAGAAGTTACTATTAAGAGCATATCCGATTTGCTCCTAGGATCCCCAAAAAGGGTCCCAGTGTTATGGCCATCTGTCTCGTCGCTTTTAGTGCCTTTCCTATGGCATGTACCAAGTTGGAGAGAGCAATAATGTCCGTGGGTAAAAAAGGATCTTTTATTTCCAAATTTTTTATTTTTTGTGGTTTTGATTGGTTTTAGCATCTGAGTTTTGTTTTCTTTTTGAATTAGAGTTAGAAATTTGAAGGATTTGGATTTTTGTTATTTTAATTGGATTGGATTATTAGATTGAAGATTGTTAAGAATACTTGGCACTTTTAAATCATCAAAATTAACAGTTCTGTTTGTGATAATTTTTGACATCGAGATTTGTTAGGATTAAGAAATTAATACTAAAATGTGGCTAATTATTACGGTTTGTCAGAATATTAGCATTATAAGATGGAAATTTTATTTGGGTTTTCTTATTTTGATTTTGTTGTTGATGGGTCACAACTCGGTTTTTGTTGTTTATAAAGGTGGTAGGTTGAAAATGGTGAAGCCCGTTTCTGTAGAAATGTAGCTCTGGAATCTGTAGAGCTTCGAGCAATGGGTTAATTTGCCTTTATGCAAAGGGCTTAGGCGTGACTTCATGGTCGAAGTAACTGGGCCGAAAATACACAGTGATTCACTCAGTCCACATTTGCGTGGACCAACAGAACAGGGCTTAACGACTCATGGTACATTTCTATTTCCTTCATTAAAATTGTGGCAACTTTTTCTTTTTCCATATCATATAAATATCCAATTAATAAATAAAGTATATACGTGTGTGATTTATCATAAAAAAGGGGAAATAAATGATGATACATGTCACCACGTTAATTTTATTACATAAAAAGATGAGATAATGAAATTAGATGGAGGGTTGGAACAAATATATTTTACACCGTAAGTGAATAAAAAAAATTAAAATGATTAGAACTATATAGTATAAAATTCTAGAATGATTTTTACCCTTATTTATATTATAATCTCTATTACTATAAAGAGAAAATAATTATGGCTCAACCGTCTAGTGTTAGAAACTTTAAATAATATAATAATATGAATATTCTAGTTTGTTACTCGATGTCACATTATCGTTTTGCAAAACCCTCCACGACATAAGAATGATTTTCAATATATATAGTACTCTTACGAGTCTAAGCGATATGAATGATCATGCTACGTTGCTTAAAGGAAACCATTTGGTAAATAAATGATCTAAGCTTCAAAGTTGGGCTTTATTAACGAGTCCATGGCCTAGCTCGGGGTCAATATAGTAGCCAATATTGACGGGCCCTTTGTGGGATGTTTCTCTCGAATGGTCTGCTAAATCAACTCATAAAATGAGAAATCGGTTTGAAATCATTTATATTTTACTGTTAAAAAAAATGAAATAGAAATAAAAGAAATTATTTGTTTCTACATTCTATTTTTGAAAACGTTCAAAACCAACAAGTAGTAGTCAAATGTTTTCAAAATCAAATTTGTTTAGCTATTTCGAACAAGTGTTTAGTACTTAATTTTATTTTTATCTTTTGTCTTGTGTCTTGTAGATGTTTCAAGACTTTTTATGCATTTGGAATTGGGAATGTGTGTGGCATTAGACATCGTGTTGGTTGGTTGCACCAAATGGTGTTGTTGTCCCTCCTAGCAATACAAAGTCGGACCCATCGCAAACCTCTTTCTTCCGGGTTTATAATCTCAAACTTATGATGATGTTGTTTTCTTGTTTACTTTTTCAATTGTAATAGACTTTTGGCGGTTGTGCTTTTTTATTCTAATAGTTGCTTTTTTTTTCGGGAGGTGCTCAATATCCTAACCAAGATTAACAACGGTACTATGGAGATCATCTCCCCGATAGAGTTGATCAAGAAGCCTAATAAGGCTGGCTCTTTCGAGGTCGCTCTATCGGCAAAGATTAGTGTTAGGCCATTTTCATATGGTTTGGTTGTCTTATCTGTTTATGACAATGGCTCGGTCTTCAATACCGAGATGCTTGACCTTACGAAGGATGACATTGCCGAGAAGTTTGCTATCGGTGTCTCAATGATCGCTCCTTGTCTTTGGCCATCACTTACCCAACCCTTGTTGCTATACCACACATATTCATTAATGCCTTCAAGAATGTTCTATCTATTGCTATTCATACTTTATGCTTTTTTTTCCTTTAACTCAAGCAAAGGCAAAGTTAAGAGGATACGAAATACAATAAAACTTTACATGATATGAAATCATTTTCTATGATTGCAATTTAGAAATTTCAATTGAGTTTAAACTTGATTGACGTATAGAAGTGGAAGAAATATTGTCTATTCACTTATTTATAAAGCTAAAACTTTTACATGAGTTCTTAACCATAGAATTTCTTTTGATCTAACATTACTATTGTCCAATTGCTTATTTATAAAACTAAAGCTTGGATTTTAGTTAATAAGCTAAGCTCGCCTCAAAAGAGCCCAAGATGTTGTGACTATGAGGTGAACAACACATTACCCATTTTTAAGCCATAGGCTCATGAAAGGAAGACAATCGGTGACCATAAGCATCATTTAGAAGATTCTTAGCTAATTTCTCGCATAAATAATCCAAAGCAATTTTCAACTATTCATCTACCTAATTACAAAAAAAATTTCACTCAAAGCATCAATATAGAACTAAAATTCAATTGTGATCATTTTTTTCTAGGCATTTTCCTTTTTCTTTTCTTTTTTTCCACAAAGAATCCAATATTTTGGTTAAAACCATGCAATAAAAATTTGTCTTAATTCTTAGAGCTATTTTTTCTTGCTAATATTGTTACCAACATGACGAAAGACTAAAAATTGTACTCCCTCTAGTATTTACGTTTGAACAAATTAAACATCATATCTTAAATTTAGTCGGATCAATCCTTTACATTTAATTAAAAGTTGAGCCCTTTCATCCATCTTAATTACTAATTCAATGGCCAAATGCATGTCACATACTATGATGCAATTAGGCAACGATCTCAAATTCCCATTGATTCAAAGTAAAGGGCTTTAATGGAAAACAAATGGTTTGAATGGACCAAATATGCAAACTACAAGAACCAACCATGATTTTCTTCCCACAAACAAAAAGTTAAACGTGATCACTTGTCATGACTCGGTTATCCCAATTCCAAAGACGAAGGGATAGATAATTAGATATATCAAAACCTATTTAGTTGCGGACATGAAACAAATTAAAATCTTTATTTTTTTCCTAAATTTCATTGATTAGATATATCAAAACCTATTTAGTTGCGGACATGAAACAAATTAAAATCTTTATTTTTTTCCTAAATTTCATTGATCTAAGTATTCAAACCCAATATCGATGATTTAAGTATTCAAATCCACCTTTTCAATTCATTGTGAAATATTGATTCTAACCCTATATTATCGTATAATATTTTGGTGGTCTCCAAGCCTTAGAGTTGACCCATAACGATATGTCCACTAAACTTCTATTATGTTTAAAATCAACTGAATGCATGAAAATGCTGAAGGTAGGTGAAAATGCAAGATTATGTCATCAATAATCCGAAGAGGTCGAAAAAATCTAGCAAAAATAAACTATGATTGTGACAAGTAGATTTTGGTAACTACACACGATCGGTGAGATTTTTTTATGATATTTCCATCTAGATAAGGTGGCTCTCAAACCTAGTTCACTTATCACTCAAGGTTTTGTAATGTACGACCGGCTAGTATGGAAGGTTGAAGCTAGGGAAGGCTTGGCCTCATCTTCTCCCATAAGATTAAAGGATGATTTCAAAGTAGTTGCTGGTCTATGATGATGGAGGAGGTGTTGTAGCTTCTATGAGAGCGAGAATTCGATGAAACCATTTATAAATTTCTTTATTTGTATTATTTTCTTCATCCAAAAGAAGAATTGTGTCAAATTTGATGTACCCTAAAGATGTCGAACTCAAATCTTAATCCATTTAAGACTCAAATTCTAAACCTTATATACATAATTTAATTATTGTCTTATTACTTCAAACTCAAATCATAATCATCTCTTCAATCCAAACATATTTATTCAACCTATTTATCTAATGATTGATTCTATTCAACTC